AGTCGTGAGTACGATGCTCGTGCAACAGATAGGGAAAAGAATATGGTGTAAGAAGAAGTAATATTCTTTTCTGTTTACAAGGTAGTTATACTAAACGTGACTAAACATGACTAAGCGTGATTGCGTGACTCTGAAGATTGTAGAAGAGGAATTGCGCTAGAGAAGGATACAAACATCGTTGAATAGGAAATATAACGAGAGAGGGGAATGCCTTAGTATCGACCCCTCACAAAGCCCCCCTATTTCCGATTTGACGGGTTCTGTACTCCTCCGGAATTTCGATGCGAGCAATGCGAGACTTGTGCCAATCGACGTGGAAACCGTCTAAAATCCGGGTATGAAGGTGCATTAAGGAAGCTGGTACGATGTGGTTCAAACGATCACGATTTCCTCTGCTCATGCGATTCCGACGCCGAAAATAATCGTTCCACATTCCTGGCGTGCGGAATTTCGCTGTACCCTGTAAGATTTCCTTGGTCAAGTCCACGAACATGTCCTCCATGCGACTATCCCACTCGCCCGTCCAGAAGAAGCAGCCGTCGTCCAATATGTCCTTGGATGGGTAGAGGGATTTATCTTTGTCACTGTCGCTACGGATACAGCCAAACATGACGTCGACTTCTTGCGGAGACATCTCGTCGGTGTATAAAAACAACGGGTGTTCGTCGTCGGAATCGATGTATCCGCGACGATGAACGTAGACGTCTGGGGAAGGCCCTGACATGAACTGCGCGACCAGTTCTGCTCCGCCCCATTTGCGACCTAGCCAAGCGATAGGGCCCCCCATGCCTATGAGAATCCTGGCATGAGGGCGACGAATGACGTCGTTGACACGGCTCATGTAGTAAGCCTTAAGGGCCCCTTGAGCTGTGTAGAGAAAAGGCGGTTCCACGTTACAGGTTGGCTTCCCAACGAGTCGGTCCATATCCGATACCTCTTCTGGTTTAAAACGACTGAAATCCTCGACTTTGACCCCGATCGCGAACGGAATGCTGAAGCAGATGGCTTTGAAAAGGATGGCGGCCATAGATGATGCGTCGCCGGAGCAAGCTGCCCAATAGCGAAGTCGAGCTTGAGCCTTGGGGTCAGGAATGAGTAGGAACCCTACGTCGAGGAACTCCAAGTTCCAGTTCAAGGGCTTCTTGCTGGACCACGTTGCTTCGCGAACTGCAAATTCATCTCCCAACCTGCGTAATTCCGCCAGGAAAGTACTCCGCGATGCTGGTAGTAGCTGCTTGCGTGAGGAGGTGGGGGGAGAGGCTGACCGTCGAGAGTCTCGGGAGCTGCGTCGCTCGGAGGTGTCAGACCGGCGGACCGATGATGCTCGTGACTGGGACAAAAGAGGAGAAGGCGCAGACATCGCCTGTACCCATCTGGATGGAATTTCCTCGGAAGCTGTCATGCGTGGCACTGGAATGCTAGGATGAGCTTCGGGAACCCAGCTAGGACGTGGAAGCATCGTGACTGAAGCCTCGTCGCGCTGTGGCGAAGCATTGGGGTTGGGGGAACCTGCAGACGAGTCGCTGCTGACTTCCCCTGGAAGACGCAGACGTCCCCACTTGTCAAAGCTTTCCTTGGGGGAAGGGGCGTACAAGCTTTTGAAGATTTCTCGAATCTCGCGGTTGCCGCGTTTTGCTTCTACGCTGATGCCTGAGCCCTCCGTCCCCGCTTTCTGACCAGAACCTGGGTTGGTTACTCGTGGTTTCCATCGCCAAATCGTCACCATACCTCCAGTCATCTCCAAGTCGATGAAGAAGTGGAACTTCTCGGCGTAGTCTTTGACGATCACGAAGTCTGTGATAGGGCGTCGAGCCCATCCCTCAAAGTCTACTATGTAAACTGTGGCGGTGGCAGGGATGTCGATGAATAGTGGAGAGGAGATGTGATCGGGTGGAGAGTGGAGCTGTAAGAATTCGTCGTGACGTCGGATTGTTGTGATTTCCTCGTCATAGCCCATTATCTCTTCCGCGTCGACCTCGGTTCTGTCCAGCGCTGTACAGGCGTCATGATAGGCTTGAAGGATGCGGGGGGACAGCTGGGTGAGGCTGGGGTATTGAGTATGGTCGTCCATCCAGAAGTAATAAACCGGGACGTCCTCCGCTAACAGGTGTGCGATGTTGAGATGGTGCCAATTTCTGACTAGATCCAAGAATACGCCTCGTTTCTTCAGGCTGCGAAGCTGGAAAGTCCTGATGAAATCTACCATCCAAGGATGTAGAGAAAAGTCCCAACGAGTGACTGACGAGGTCCACCAATTGAGAAATCCCAAGAACTCCAAGGCCTTCGCTCGAGCTTCCCTGGTAATGGAGTCGACGCTGTCTGCTGAGTCCCAGCCCGACTGTAAGCGGAGATAGTTGAACTTCAAAGGATGGTCGGTGCCCTTGATGAAAGGGTGGTTGGAGACGACTGATTCGACGCACAACCATAGACGCGAAAGCAAGTCCATTGCTTTCTCCCGTAGATCGGTTGCTAAGTAGAACTTTCCTCCGTTGTTGATGATGGGCGCACTTCCCTTGTTAAAGTACCAAGGGACGTTGTCGTTTTCGTCGGGGAAGGATTCGATTACGTTCCACGCGTCCCAGTGGTAGCGTTGACTGAACCAGGCGGGCTCCTTCGTCCAAGTCCACGCCGTTGGCCGTGCGCAGGTCTCCTCCAGCTGAAATGCTCGATCCTCCAAAGCTTGCTGAAAGACATCCGTAGAGGGAATCTTACCTGCTGATGCGTTCAACGCAATCCATTCCCCCGCCGGCATTACTTCTCGACCTGATGTTGGGACAATCCCATCTCCGTCGGTATACAAGAATTCCATGATGTCGTGGATGAGTATGCGCAGTGAATCCAAATGAGAAAAGAGAAACGATGTAAGAGGAAAGAAGGAAAGAACAAAAAACAAAAGGAAAGGGTATACGGTCGTCTATCAGTGAGATCCATCACTGATCTAGACGAGATAAGTTAGGTAGTGTTATTACAAATCATTGGGGGGGGTCTCCCCCTTCACCCTGACGCTGCCATTTAGCAACAACTTCTGGGGCGTTAGTGAGCGCTTTCCTCGGCTCCCAGGTGTCGTAGAGAGGGCTGTAACCCTCCCAGCGAACGAGGTACTCTAGGCCCTTACGTGTCCGCCTTTCCGCTATAATCCGATCCACTTCATACTCTTCTTTGGCCGGTACGGCGGTGCGTGTTTCAGGGAGAGTGGTGCGAGGTCCGAACTCGATAGGTGACTCTTCATACTTTTTGAGATGTTGGTAATTGAAAATAGGAAGCCCCGGATACAAACTACTCATCCGAAGACGGTACACGTTCGGATTGATTCTCTGCATCACCTCAAACGGCCCTATCCACCTTTGAGTGAGTTTCTTTCCCTCCCCTTTGGACTCGATCCATTCTAAAGCGTGCGGATTGACTAGTACGCGATCGCCTTTTTTCAAGTGGGGTATCGGCTTCCGACCGTTGTTATAAGAACGGGTTTGTTGATCCTGCGCTTTGGCGATCGCTCGCCTGGCGCTATCCCTGTGCATAGCCATATTCTCCAAGAAGGTAACTGCCTCTGGTGTCAAAGCTCGATTCAAGACTTCGTCGTTCCGTTTGGTCCCGGTGAAGTCCAATGGCGTTCGAGGGTGGAAGCCCAATAAAAGGTGAAAAGGTGCTGCACTCGTGGACGAGTGGATCGCGCTGTTGTAGGCGAATTCCAACAGGTGTAACCATTTCGACCAGTCGGATTTATTACTTGAAACGAATGCGCGCAACATAGTGGTGAGCAATCTATTTACGACTTCCGTTTGCCCGTCGTGTTGAGGGTGATGGGATGACGATAGGCTCATCCGTGTCTGAAGAAATTTTGCGATGCCTATCCAGAAATCGGCTGTCCATCTGGGGTCTCTATCCGTTATTATGCTCTCTGGCAAACCGTAACGACAAACGATATGCTTGACGAAGAGATCCGCGAAGCCTTCGGAATCTAGCCCAGTCGTGGTTGGAATGAACGACGCATGTTTCGACAAACGATCAACCACGACATAAATGGCGTTGAAACCGTCTGACCATGGCAGATTAACGATAAAGTCCATGGAAATCGACTGGTAGGGTCGGGAGGGGATGGGATTGGGAATAAGTAAGCCGAATTTGTTGAAATTAGAGAATTTTGATTTCTGGCATACGTCGCAGGTCTTACAGAACTTTTCGATATCTATTTTCATCCTTTTCCAATAAAAGCGGGGACTTAGGGATTGCCATAATCGTTCGGGTCCCGCGTGCGCTGATTCCAGAGGGTTTTCATGTGCTTCCATCAAGACGAAGTTCCTTTGACTCGTAGGCACGCAAAGACGGGGCTGGTAATCTTCGTTGCTGAAGAAAACCATGCCATCTTTGTCCACGAAGAATCGGCGACCTTGGGTGAATCTGTCATGGGAATACTTCGGGTCTGTAGCTATGGTTTTGAAAGACGGATCGTGTAAGTAGCCCTCTCTCCATTCTTTCTTTGCTTTTTCATCCATGGATAGGTGAACCGTAGGAGGAGGATTCAAAGCTCCCCAGTATTCGGTCGTAGTCCGCAGAGTATCGAGTTCCTCCCCCTCCTCCTTGGTACGGTCATTTCCTTGTTCCTGGATGATGGCCTCCTTAGGAGCGGGTCTGTCGACTTGCGATGCCTCGCTGCTTCTTTTAT